CCACTTGATCGCCTCCTGCTTCTTTCCGAGCTCAATTGCTTGACGCATGGTCGATTTCTAAATATCGGCCCAATGCTAAGGTGTTTACAGCGGCCTTTTATTTGACGAGGTCTTCTAATCGAAGCGGTATTTTATTTTGTAGAACATTGCCGAAAATTCGATGGGGGCTTGTAATAGTAGAAGATGTTCTATTCGTAAAAGTTCGTTAGATAAAATGTGATCTTCTTACTGACAAAGGTATCACTTCCTACACAGTTTCCACGATTTCTTGCTGAAGCTTGCACCATTAGCATTTATTTTCTTTGATCATATTCGCTCAGAGCCGAAACCTTTTAGTTCCGCCCATTAAGCAACAGAATACAAACTGCAAAACTTCAGATGCAATTTTAGCCATAGGGATGCAATATATGAGCACTGTGTCTGCTTAGCAAAAAGTGCATGAAAAATAAAGTAATTAAGAAAACTAAGAAAGATAATGCTTGATACTTTTCTTTCTGCGAACAAATCGTAGAATCTCAGCTGATTTAAAAGAGATTGAATACTTACAGGAATTTTTTCATTCGTAAGAAATTCTGGAAACTTATTTACTCATTGAGTATACAATAAAAATTTAATCAGGCGTTGTCATCGTGAGCTTTGCTTCAGCAGATACTGCATCAAAATAGTTGTAGTAGACACAATCATGCTATCACCTGTATTGCTTTTGCGACTAAAGCTGCATAAGGCTTGGTTATTAAGCTTTTATGCAGCGTGAGACAATGACTAATCCTTTACCTAGGTTTTGAATCGTTTCCGATAGAACACCATTATTCATAGATTGACTTGGAGCTCGAAGGCATTGATGGCTACACAATTCTCTGATTTAATGATCTGATGAGTCATGAACCCATATCTGATAGGAGGCGGAAGCGCTTTTGGTACGGGCATAAATTGCAGTAATTTAATGCCAGGCTTCAATTTACAAATAATAAGCAGCGATATTGTTGCATACCTTAAGCTGAGCTCGGCAGGCGGAAGCGGCAGTAAGATGCGGACGGAAATAAAAGATTGCATATCACGGTCTTCAGATAGCTTTTATATTGACTTTAAAATAGAGATGGCTTTTTCGCGTTCTCCAGGGGTGTACAGTTGAAAGGTCGAAAATTAGATCAGTCAAAGTGGCTTAATGCAGCGGAGTCCTGGGAAAGAGTTGATATAGCCAGGCACCTGTCAGCTGCAAGAAGATGGGCCAATCCCTGTCATTATTATTATCAAGGGTGATTTATCTCTTACTGTTCGGTGAGCCCTGTCTACGGTTTTTGGGTTTGTTTGTGAAACTGTATATATACCTGTGAATGAAGTGATGGAGAAATCCAATCCCTGGTACTGCTCCCCTTATTTTCTCTGACATAAGCTTAAGCTGGGCTTGAAGTGTAATCTTCGGGTATACCTGCAAAAACTTGCTAGACAGCGAGAGCGTCAAATTGGTACTGATGGTACTTAAAGTCGAGTTGAGTTTATCAAGTAACAAAGAATATTTTGCCGTTGAGACCACTTGCAGGACACCTTTTGCAATGAGTGAAATGGCCATCATCATGGATCATAAGGGGTTTTATCGATCCTTTGTAAGAAGCCACCACGTGGTGACAATAGGCCATACACACCCGCTAATATTTAAAATCGCTCGAGGTGGTCTTGTTCTTGGTCACTTTTTCATCAAAACAACGTGTACCTTAATCAAGGGCACGCAACGTACTTGACAGAAACTCTTCTTAGTAAACTTCTTATTTTTCTCTAGGGATGAACCTTTGCCTCTGATCCCGCTATTCTTCATACTACCATCGACCGTGACTTGTATGTCGATGGCGAAAAGACTGTCTTTTTCTGGCGTCTAGCTGCTCCACCTCCAGTTGGTGTGTTTCCTTTCGTTTCCTGGGCTTGTCTCATGAGCATGGAGGGTCAACGCACATCACCATATTACTTGGGATATCTGTGACTTCTTCAGCAGATGCATACGCCCGTATTATCTCATTCGTCGTCATGCAGCTCGAAAAAGCGCTGCACGACTTGTTAGTGACGATTTTCATATTCATCCAGTCAAAAACAGGCTGATAAGGCTTCAATCATGCATGCTTAGGATGATATTGACCTTATCATAAAGGTCGAGTAGAATATATCACCTCGGTAATTCTCAAATTTTATTGCCAGGTAAATGACTTGCCTTTGCATCATCATTCGAGATCCATTCGTTTAACAAATGATTCTTTCTCTTTTCACATTTTGCAGACTAACGCCATACCCAGTCATAACTTACGCTTCATCAAAGTTGTTCGACGCACCAGCGTCAATCAAAGCTCGTATTGGTTCCGCAAGCCGTCTATAACGACTTCTTGGACAATCAAAGTCACACTCTACCTGACACTACAGCCACTCAGAGTGGAAGCTGCATGTGCATCGTGCTCGTCGGGGCTAGAGTTCTGTGTATCCAAAGCATCCACAGTACTTTTCTCGGTGCCAGTAGAGATAACCGCATTCTCGTTTTTTACTCGTAAGAGTGTCCGAACCAACGACCTATTTAGCGTCCGTGTTTATCCGATCGAGCACCCTGTTTATGTTTTCGATTCAGCAAAGAAACTACGCAATTACGAAAACAACATGACCCAGCTTCCCACGACAAAATGTTGCAAGGATGCTCATTTCCGAACGTAGAAATGTATAAGATGTCGATTGGCTCCGGACCATCATATGTACCAGTCTACTAACGCACTTGCCTTGGTACGGATCCATTTGACTTGGCTTGCTTGACATTGAATTCTTCTTGAAAAGCACAGTTGACGGCATTGTCCAGCGTCGTGGGATACTCATGGAACAGTTGAATCCGGATCGGCCAGCCATTCAAACTTGCCATGAACGTTACGACTCGCGTTAAATCGTCTATTGGCTAGTTGATACCACGCTGTGCATTCGAGTGTAGATCGTAAAGACCTTGACGAAGCTTCAAGAACTCGGCTCAGGCACGAAACTCATTATGTGCTGGATTTAACACATTCTTTATCTTGACTTTGAAATGTTTGTAGCTGGGAAAGCAGTTGAAATTGACCATACACCCTCTTTATCACAAGACCCGCAAGGGTGGACATCTTGAACAACATTTTCTACAGAAGATATTTCGGCTGTCTTGCAGTGATCGCTGCATCCAACTTGACAAATCTTCGCGAGCGAGGCTCATTCTTCCCACCACGATGCAAATACACGTTCGGCTTCATAGGCATCGTTCTGTACGAAAAATCAGGCTACGATCTGCTTCCGAGATTCTATAGCCTCATGATGCATGAAACTGACAGCTTCGTTCTTCTGACCATCCTGAGAGTACAACTGTGGTAAACTAGCTACAGCAGCTTCTCCGATATCTCTTTGCATCTGCTCGAGTTCTACCCACTCATTTGAAGACAAATGCGGAAATTACTTCACCTCAAATTGCAATACAATGGAACGAGTGGTACTCCTATCCTTCCGGACAAGGAAATGACTTACAGTGGAATGTGCAACGTGCTCAATAACAGCGTCGTCAAACCAAAATCAAGTGTCGTTGAAAAAACCAACAAGTGTCACCAGGTGTAAGAGGGCGCTGTACACAACAGTCCCTCAAACACATCATGCTGATTTGTGCGACGAGGAGTGATTCTCGACGTGCAGGGATAATAATTGTCCTGACATGGATGGAAGGAGACTGGATTTAGGCCTTAGAGTTAAATTTGAGGCTGAATCAAAAAGTAAATCGTTTTCAGCTAAATACAAACAATCCCAGGACTCTTAGAGATTTTACCAATAAAAATTTCGCGGGAAGTATCTCACGTTCGACTGACCATGGCGCAGAACATAACACCTCATAGTTATTTGTTACCGTCTCGTCAGAGGTGCACTCAGGACCTACGCATATAGTTACCATTCCTATCGCGACAGAAATAATTTCGTAGACTGCAACATTCGATCGTTCTTCCTGTCCCATTTTAAGTCCGAGGCGGACCACTGCTTCTGCGTTCAGAGCTCTGTTCGAGGCCCTTGCAATAACAATGCTATCGATTTCGAACGATTATTTGTTCTGTACCTAATCTGTTGTGGCACAGCGCCTGCACCTAAAGAACTTCTACTTCCTGACAGAAGGAGGATTTTTATTCGTCAAAGCTTTACCAGAAGAGAAGTGCATGGCTCTTGGTAATTTCGAATTCCTGTCAACACACGCTTGTGATATTGCAGCCGCCATACCTAGAATGAGATCGTAGATCAAATCCATATTAAAAACGAGACGAATTTTCCTATATCGAAATTAGCATAATCTTTCGAACGACCAAATCACAAGACGCTAAATTGCTTTATTTGAAGACAATTTTTTAGTAGGTCGCCTAGCACCGACCGAGATTTAAATTTCCTTGCAAGCAACCCAAGATTACCATCTTTGAGTACCACGGGGAAGCTGAGCTGCTAAAAGAATTCTCTTATATCTCCACAGCATTGCTACGGCCCATTGCATCTGGCACACTCACAAAGCTCTTACTCTCAGTACTCCATCCAGCCCTCGAATCTCGAAATTTTAACTACGTATCAAATGCAATGCCCGCCGCCCCCTCAAAAGGAAAAAGCAGTTATAAAATGTTTCGGTGCAAATCGCACCCGTCGAAAGGTCCTTCATCAAGTACTTCACTTCTGATTGTTCGACTTCGCAAGATGTATCAACAAATGCTATAGCACATGTTATATTTCTTACGATGATTTATTGGATGAACTAACTGAAAAAAATACTATGTTTCTATGGTTAGTTCAACGTTGCCATAATTACAACTTACTAATTCGCTCAATAAGAGTTCCTTTTCAATTGCTTTGCGTCATCTGGTTTATTGTGTATACGTAAATCATAAAGACGATGAGAGCTCGAAAGCTCTAGCTACAAGTTGAGCTGTTAGGGCTTTGTGCAGCGGGGCTGCCGTAGCTCTTTGCTTGGAGGAAGTTATGCTAAGGTTACCAACCTTCCGCTCTATACTAGAGCAAGTATGAGTGTAGAGGAATCGCAATCTGCTAACTCCAAGAGTACCCACAACCTTAACCTAAAACAAATACGCTCAATCGTTCAAAATGTAAACGGTAGTTCTTTCGTTCTAATCACGGAAGAGCTGCCTATATCTAAAAATATGGGTTTTCCTAACTAAACAGTAAAATCAAATTAAATGCAAAACTACTAGCATTCCCGCTACGTAGTGGCTTCTTGATACGGTGTAGCCACACCACCGTGTGGTCACACCATCTTGTGTGACTCACCCCTTCATACCAGGTACGTGTAGCCCCGTTACACTCTCCCCTATCAAAATTGTGAATACCCACAATTTATATTTGAATGTTGACTCGTAGGAAGTTCGCGTGTCTAAGACAGCTTTACATCCCAGGGAACTTCTTCACGCATTCTCTGCTAAATGAGCTTTGTGTCTATAAGTTTAAAAACACCCAGCCTCGCTGGTTTTTCTGAGAGCGCCCGCGGGCAGAGCCCTTTCATGCAT